GTTCTATGATATAAACTACCACTACAAAATTTTGACGGTCTCTATAACGAAGAATGACTCGAAATAAAACAAAATTGTATTGTCTTCTGAACATGAGTTTACCATTTCTTTATTTGGCCATCGTTTTGATTATGATATTGGTAATGAATTCGTTACCGACAGTTTGTAAAATTAAACATTCTATCGAATATCTAGGCATTGTACACCACGACGGGAAAGAGTCGTCCTAATTTAAAAAAAAAACATGTATATAAAATACAGCAGTCAGATGCTGGTTAGGGCACTTGCGGGCGCCGATGCTGCTCCAAATTTGGAAGGAGCATCCGGAAAATATGAACAATCGGGTTTGAATCCCACGAAGAGTGGGTCAAAACTGACCACGACTGACCAGCACCTTATACAAAGTAAAAAAAATCTCCTCAACGACGTATTACCCCCCCCCCCCCAACTGATAATTTTATGAGTCTCTAGACCACTGCCCATGTGTGCCAGATAAAAATGTGTTATATCTGGTAAATGTTGTTATAGGAATTAAAACTAATCATTCATATTTAACTATACAACCATTGTAAATGAAAAACCATCTATTGATACAAGCCTACACGTTAAAAATATCTCATCGTCAAGCTCTTATGTCCTGCTGTGAGGGTGTAGCAACGATTTCGGGGTGGGGTTGGGGGGTGGGGAGAATGTATGTTTGTATGTGTGTGTGGAGGTGTGTGGAAGGGGGGGGGAGTAGAACTAGAAAAAAAACGGTGTTCCTTTAGGGAAACTTAGAAATCCGTTTAAAGCGGGAGATTCACTAAACATTGTAATTTAAAAAAAAATAAAAAACATAAGTGAGTTTTCAAACAGATTTTAGGGTAGGCCTACTTATGCTCTGTACACCTGGCTAGTGTGTAGCATGGACCTCGATAAAACACTTTACCATATGGGAAAACTATTGCTTATAACCCATTCCCTCGCCGATGGATATAATTTGACGACACAATGATATATTCGGTCTTTTATGTTACTCACATGTTAATTTTTCAGAGGATATTGAATACTAATTTATGGCGAAATAACTCACTCTTCTTCTTTTCTTCTTCTTCGTTCTTAATTATTAGTGTTGAAGGGGATCGAGTTTATCTGCAAGTGGGTTTGAACTCGAGACTTTGTTCGCATTTATCAACCATGAGCTTTTTGCCGACTCGACCACGCCTCCAACACAATTAAGCGTTACGTGTCAATTGTTTATGCGCGATTGAGGCCATTGACTCCGATTTCAGCCTGCTTTTCTTTTTTGGATTTGCTTCCATAGCCTTTGTCCAACCAAGAACAAACTACAAGGCAGCAGTTGTTTTAATTTTGGAGTTGTCTCTCCTAGAAGAGTGGCTGTCCCCAGCTAACGAGCCTCATCTGCCCGAGGGTTCGAACTCGAGACTTTTCGGTTTAGCAACCATGAGCTTTACCGACTCGACCACGCCGACCCTACTCACTCTTTAAAGCATTAATGTTAAAATAAAAATAGTTTTTGAATCACAGATGTAACTTAATATAAGAAAGTTAAGATAATTTGTTTTAGTTACTCGACATATTATGTTAAACAGAATTCCTATCACGATATATTTCATACATTTCCTTGTCATTCTATAATATACGTAGGTTATATGTTAAACAGGAAGAGAGTATAATTTCCTTATTCACCAGTTAGGATTTGTGTCAGGAGTTAGGATTTGTGTTAAGTTTTGGTATAAGGTTTTGGTTTAGGGATAACGTTCGGTAAAGAACATAAAGCGCTATTCGAATTTCCACATAAAGTCTCTATTGCTGCATGACTGTAATTATTAAAGAACTTTTTTTAAAATATGGCATTTCACACTTTGTGTGAGCAGTTATTGTCATTCTAAATAATACATGTAGTGCCTAAAACGTTCTAGAACACCGTTTATATTTCTTACATTGCCTAATAAAGACCGAGAATGTATGAATAGTAAATATTTATACATCCTGTCATTTTTTCAAGTAAATATATCCACTTTTTTTCTTTTGTATTTCGTTAGTAATTTTTTGACTGTTATTATAAAATACTTTTTTTTTTAAAATCGGGCATTTTACACTTTGTTTGAGCAGTTATTGTCATTCTAAATAATGCCTAGGATATGTATGTAGTGCCTAAAAAATTCCTAGAACACCGTTTACATTTCATACATTGCCTAACAAAGACCGAGAATATATACATTGCCTATACATACACACAAACACACACACACACATATATATATATATATATATATATATATATATAATATATGATACAGAAAATCTTTAAAAAGGAATTAAGGCTGTGTGCGGCACCGGATTTATGTGTGTTGGGTGTCAGATGTCGAATTTCAGTTTTAACCTAATTATTAAAGTATATCCATTTCTGAATACAAAACCACATAACATATTGTTGGAAAATGCTTATTTTTATTTTAAATTAATTTTTTTGTGAGGCATGTATATGCATGTTTTGTCTAATTTTTCAAAAACACTGCGAAAATTGCCAAAGTTTACTACTATAAAACATACAGATAACTAAAAATAGCTACCGCGTGCTTAGTATCGCCGGAAAGCTCCTTTTCTTGTCTATAACGACAAGGTAAATTTGTCAACCAATGAAAATATTCCATTTAATTTCGAATGTTCAAATGAAACACACTTTTTAAAGAGTTTGACCTACATATACCAAATTTTCCTACTCGGCCTTACCCTTTAAAAAGGAATTAACCTATCTTACATAGTTTTGCTAAAATATTAACTGAGCTATTTCCCTTTGACCACCTCTCTGAGCGGCACCTTCCTTAATGTTTCCGATATAAAAGATATTAATTATCAGACGGACACTAGCGTTATTGAATTATATAATAACAAGTTTATTCCTCGTCTGAGATGGCATCTATTCATGATGTGTCGGCTAGTGTCTTAGAAAATTTGCAATCATGCAATTCTGTATAATCCATCCTGATGGCACACCGCCTTGAAGTGGTGGGATGGCTTGTGTGCCCCAGCGACCCCCAGAGCTATGCCGGAGGGAGCCTAGTGCTCCTGGCAGGTCTAACCATGTCGGACAGATACGCGTGGGTAGGGACCAGACCAAACGTTGTGCCCTGGTCCTCCAGGTTGGGGGTTGTGCGATGGGCTAACTACTCCTCCGCATAAAACAAAATATAGTTACAGAAACCGAAGCCAAATCTGAAATTAATCCAGTCCTCGGAAGAACCAGGGCTCCACTTAGGAGAAGTATGACGCAATGCAGCCAAATCCGCAAGGAAGCTACAGAGCCGACCCCCCTTCTTCAACCGAGGAAAACTAAATTCACAGCCCCAAAACTACTGTCGCAAAAGAAACCTATCCTCATTGAAACATGGAAAGTCAGAACACTATGGGAAGCAGGGAAGTGTGCACAGGCAGTGAAAGAAATACAACAGTATCATCTTAAGGTGCTCGGCCTGTGCGAAACAAGATGGAACACCTTTGGAGAGACAAAATTCCAGACGGGAGAAACACTGTTATACTCGGGAAAAGAAAATGAGGACGACCCACGAGAGGCAGGCGTAGCCTTGCTATTGACAAAGGAGGCAAAAGAAAAAGCTTGATGGAATGGGAACCTGTATCTGATCGAATAATTAAAGCTAGATTTGAATCCAGGTTTCAAAAGACCTCCATTATCATGTGCTACGCTCCTACGAACAACGCAGACGAGGAAGAAAAAGACCGCTTCTACAAAGAGCTTCAATCGGTGGTTGATAAGGTACCCACGCGCGACATGCTGATCCTCATGGGTGATTTAAATGCCAAAGTAGGCTAAGACAACAGAGGCAGGGAAATGGAGATGAGAACCAATGGCCTAGGGGAAATGAATGAAAATGGTGAACTCTTCACAGACTTTTGTGCCTCAAATGAGCTTACTATCGGCGGTACACTTTTCACCCACCGAAGTTGTCATAAAGCCACCTGGATATCACAAGATCATCATACCGAAAACCAGATTGATCATGTCGCGGTACGGCGTCGCTGGAGGGCCTCACTGCAGGATGTGAGAACAAAGCGATGAGCCGACATAGGATCCGACCACCACCTGGTTGTTGCTAAACTGAAAATGAAGCTAAAGTCGAAGAAAAGGCAACATGAAATTGATCCACGAAGAAGATTTGATGTAAGTAAACTTAAGACGCAAGATAACAGGACAAATTTTCAGGTCACCCTAAAGAATCGGTTTGAAGATCTACAGACAAAAGAAAAAGATTTTGATTCAGTTGAACACACCTGGAAAATATTTAAGCAAGCCACTATTGAAGCTTGCGAAGAGGCTCTAGGATGCCCTGGATCACAGATGATACATGGCAGAAGGTGGAAGAAAGAAAAAGCCTAAAGAGAGAACTAAATCAAGCAAAAACACGGCAGCAGAAACAAGCAGCAGCCTCTCGATAGAACGAAAACGCTAAAGAGGTGAAAAGGAAACTAAGAAATGACAAGAGATTGTTTATAAATGAAATGGCAGAGCAGGCCGAAACAGTTGCCAGTAAGGGAGATCTCAAGACGCTCTATGCAACAACCAGAGCTCTGAGTGGGAGGAAAACCAATCCCAACAGGCCAGTGAGGAGCAGAAATGGTAAACTTCTAACGTCAATTGAGGAACAATTGGCACGATGGAAAGAGCACTTTCAGGAAATACTAAACGGCCCAGCACCTCAAGATCCACCAGACCTGGAACCAGGGGAACCCCTTAACATCAATACCGAGGAAATCACCAGACAGGAAATTCTCAACTCCTTAAATAGCTTGAAGAGTGGCAAGGCATCAGGACCAGATAATATCCCAGTAGAGGCACTAAAGCAAGGTGGAGAAGAAGTAGTAAATCGACTTCATAAATTACTTAACTTGGTCTGGAACACAGGACAAATCCCAACCGATTGGAAGAGGGGCCTCCGTGTGAAGTAGCCTAAGAACGGTGACTTATCTCAGTGTGGAAAATGGAAGGGTATTACCTTGTTGTCCTTACCAGAGTTATTTTGGACAGAATGAAAGAGGCGGTTGACCTTAAGCTAAGAGAGGAACAAGCAGGATTCAGGAAAGAAAGATCTTGTACAGATCAAATAGCCACTCTTAGAATTATTGTAGAACAGACGATAGAATGGCAGGCCCCGCTTTACATCTGCTTTGTTGACTTTGAGAAGACCTTTGATAGTGTGGATAGGCAAACAATATGGAATCTGTTGAGACACTATGGTGTACCTGCTAAGCTAGTGCAAATAATCCAGCAACTTTACAATGGATTTTCATGCCAAGTTAGCCATGCTGGGAAACTGTCTAAATAGTTCCAGGTCAACACAGGTGTGAGACAAGTATGTCTGCTGTCGCCCCTCCTCTTCTTGGTGGTTCTCGATTGGGTGACACGCACAGCCTATGCCAGTTTTGGAAAAGGTATTCAGAGGACACTCACGGGGAAACTAGAGGATCTGGAGTTTGTAGATGATCTTGCCTTACTCTCGCACAGGCTACAAGACATGAAAGAAAAAGTTGATGCATTAGGAGCCATCTCTCAGCGCGTAGGTCTCAAGATCAACAAAGAAAAGACAGAAGTGATGAGAATTAACAATAACTAGGAGGGTCCAGTGACAATAGACGGAAGACTGGTAAATGATGTGCAAGAGTTTGTCTACCTTGGCAGCAAGATCAGCAAAACGGGAGGCACAGAGAAGGACATACGCTCTAGAGTTAATAGAGCCCGCTGCGCTTTCACAGTCCTGCGACCCATATGGAAAAGTTCGGCCATCTCCATTACCACAAAAATTAGGAAATTTAACTCTAATGTCAAGGCAGTTCTGTTGTATGGAGCAGAGACATGGAGAGTCTCCAAGGCAAGCACATCAAAGATACAGACCTTCATGAATAGATGCCTTAGACAGATATTGGAACTGAGATGGCAGGACAAAGTGCCGAACATAGAACTATGAAGGTAAGCTAGGCAGGAGCCTTTGGGTGTGCAAATAAGAAGGAGGAAGTGGCGCTGGGTGGGTCACACACTGCGAAAGGCTCACCCAAATGTTACACGGCAAGCGCTTGAGTGGAACCCCCAGGGAAAGCAGAAAAGAGGGCGACCAAGACAGACCTGGAGGCGGAGTCTTCTTGAAGAACTGAAGCCAACAGGGATGTCTTGGGAGATGGTAACATTAATAGCCGGGGATAGGTAGAAATGGAAGGAAATGGTGGAGGCCCTATGCTCCATAAGGAGCAAAGATGACTAAGTCAAGTAAGTCAAGTCATTTCTGTATAATATCTGTTTATTTAATTAATGGGTAATAAAATAAAAGGGAGACCACTACAAATAAACGAGACTATGAGCCCAGGAATGATAGTAACGTGTCTGTTTCAATAGACTTTACTTCTGCTTTACAGTAGGGTTCTAGAACCGCTTTCCTGTCACTGCTGTTTCAAATCAAGTAATCAGGGAAATAGAAAAACAACGCGTGGTAGCAGGGTACATGAAAGACCCACTTAAGTTTTACTGGGATTTAATTTTCCGAAAATAATTGTATAAGACTTGTGTCTAATGATACTGAAAATAAATAAACGGGCCTTGTTGTTTATATTTTTTATATTTCTTAATTAATTTTTTGACCGTTATTATTAAAGACTTCTTTTTCAAATCTGCCATTTCACACTTTGCTTCAGCAGATATTGTCATTCTTAATAATGCAAAAGATATGTATGTAGTGCCTAAAAAAATTCTAGAAAAAAGTTTACTTTTCATCCATATAATATACATGTATATATACATATATATATATATATATATATATATATATATATATATATATATATATATATATATATATATATATATATATATATGTATATATATATGTATATATATATATATATGTATATATATATATATATATATATATATATATATATATATATATATATACATATATATGTATATAATAGGCTATATATACATATATATATATATAATATAATATATAATATAATATATAATATAGTATATGTATCTTTAATAAATTATGATCCAGAACATCTTTTAAAGGGAATTAATCTAACTTAGATAATTTTGCTAAAATATTAACTGAGCTATATCCCTTTGACCATCTCTCTGAGCGACACCTTCTTTGCACACTAACGTTATTGAATTATGTAATGACAAATTTATTCCTCGTCTGAGATGGCATCAATATATGATGTGTCGGCTAGTGTCTTAGAAAATTTGCAATCATGCAATTCTGTTTAATATCTGTCTAGTTTATTAATGGGCGATAGAATAAACGGGAGACTACTACAAATAAACGAGACTATGAGCCCCGGAATGATAGTAACTTCTCTGTTTCAATAGACTTTACTTCTGCTTTACAGTAGGGTTCTAGAACCGCTTTCCTGTCACTGCTGTTTCAAATAAAGTAATCAGGGAAATAGAACAACAACGCGTGGTAGCAGGGTACATGAAAGAACCACTTAAGTTTTACTGGGATTTAATTTTCCGAAAATAATTGTATAAGACTTGTGTCTAATGATACTGAAAATAAATCAACGGGGTTTGTTGTTTATATTTTTGATGCCGTAGGCAAATTTTGATTTCAGGTTGGTTAAGTGAAATCTATTGTGAGAAAACCAACTCAGGCGTCTAAAAAAATACACCATTAGAAGCAGTATAATATTATATAATATCTTCATACCGAGTCAATTTCTTTTCTAAACCGGAATTCATTAAGTCCTTATTTCTACAGATTTTTATTAAGATAAAATATTTTATTTTGGTTGAAAAAAATGCTTTCTGGCAACAAGCATTTGGAACCATTTGGGACCAGCTTTTCAAGCCTATAATTATTGTAATAATATAATTATCTCAGCCGTATTCCGAGTGATAAGAAAAGATAAAATAAAATAAAAGGGAGGCTACTATAAATGGCCCTCGCCCAACAAAGATGCATATTCACTAAACGTAATCGAACGTATAGGCCTACACATTGACAAAAATAAAATAAAATAAATATTATGTGTTTAGAAAACCAACCTTAGAATACAATTTTCGCACATATAAAAAGCAATAAAGGTAAAACATAACCCAGTCAAACTCTTGTAACCTATATGTAACATTAGATTTAACACCCAAACAGCAGGAGTCCATTATATTTGTACCACTGTAGCATTCCATAGCTGACCATACAACCTGTTACCAATGTTTTAATACCCACAGACATTCACGGTCTGAAATCGCGTTCATTGTATTACTTGTTCAATTAAATCGCTGATTACAGATCTATTCTTTTATTTTGCAGATTCTTTAGTGTAGACGCAGTAGTTTTAATCTGATGCTGAACAGTACAACAATTGTGTTTGTTTGCAACTCAACTAGAACATTATACGAGTTTAGGAGTTAAGTCTAAAAGATAAGCTTCTAGGATTTAAATTCCATGTCAGTTGTTTTATTATGTTGCTACTGTACTGCATTGGGTTTAAAGATTTGCTGGTGAGATTTAAAAACAATGTTATAGCTGAATTGTGAGTTAAATTAGGATTTAAAGCCAGGGATAGGTAAGCTAAAATATGCTGATCTCTTTTAATGCTGTATTAATCCAGGTTTTAAAGAGAGATGCGTTTGTGAGATTAACCTGGAAGATTTAGCCCCAAGACGATTGTAAGTGTATGCTGGTAAAACAGTGGCGTAGTCAGGGGTTGAGTTACGGAAATATTTAAAACTCGGAACAAACCAATTCTTTACATTTCTGTTTATTGTAGGAAACTCGAAGTATGGGTAGATGAAAAAATTGGTAACGCATTGATAAAACCCTTCTTATATATCCCGACAGACTTTCTTCTATTCCCGCGGCAACAAGCGAGGACGGGTACTCTAGTGTTGTTACAAAAAGTTTAATTATCTCATCAGTCTTAAAGTAGATAAGTGGAGCCTGTTTATTGTTATTATAAAGAGTTAAATAAGACTTCTGTATCATTCCTGTACTAAAACCTACTGAACGATAAAGTAAAATAGTTACTATAAATAGTAACTGGCCCCACCGATGTATATGTTAACTTACCGCCACTGTACGTATACAGAGCTTAAAAAAAAACAACTAAAAACTATAGTCTATTATGAAAACCACCATTAGAATACAGATTTTGTGCATATAAAAAGCAACAAAAAGCAGTTCGTTATGCTGGGTAAATAATTCCCAGTTTGACTTTCCCACATGTAACGACAGCTTAAACACCCGACCAGTAGAACTCGTATCTTGTACCATTGTAGCATTCCATGGCTTAAAACAAGAACCGCATCCAATGTTTTAATACTTACAGATATTCACTTGCTGAACTTGTGTTATTTGTGTTACCCGTATAAAAAATCACACATTACAAATCTAGTTTTTTAATTTTGAGAATACATTATTGTAAACACAGTAGTTTCAGTTTGATGTGGATTAGTAGCCTTTAACAATTGTGTATGTTTTCTACCAACATGTATACGGGTACAGGTCCAAGGGACAAGTCTGTGAGTTTAACTTGGGGATTTATTTATTTATTTATGCTACGTGGCAATTTGTAGATAATTTTTTGAAACAGGACGAGTAGAGGTAAGAGTAAGTTCATAGTTTTCACTTAGGTACAGCTCTTTACTTCACTGGCAAAAAAAGTTACCATTAATTAATTACTATTGACTGGACAAAGTTCCCATTCATCGAACGAATTTATCATTCATTGAACGACGTTACCATTCATTGAACGAGGTTACCATTCATTGAACAAGGTTACTATTCATTGAACGAGGTTACCATTCATTGAACGAGGTTACCATTTATTGAACAATGTTACAATTCTTTGAGCGAAGTTTCCAGTGATTGATAGAAGCAGAATGTTTGATTAAGAACGATAAAGAAGAAGAAACAGGTAGTCTAATTTAACATACCTTTGAAATCATAGCCCCCCCCGCCCCCAACCTGTGTATTCCGACCTCTGGTCAGTCCGCCTTTGGATGCCATTAATCGAGTAGCATTGTATTTCTCCTATAAAACAGGTCGCTGTCTCAGATTGACACACTCCTGCTGCTCAGTTTATGCCATCTCAACATGAAAATGGTACGTCAAATACAGTTTTGGTATTGATATAACAACACAATTATTTAAAACTTTGTGACATTTTGTGAATACTAAGAATAACATTTAATAAAAAAAGATACATGTATAATAAACTTGAATCTGAATGTTACATATCACAGATGATGGTCTAATTGCACTAATGGATCTTGGCATTCATGTTCAATACTATATTTTGCAAAATGCATAATTTTCTGTAAGCAAACAGCAATATGATAGGAATTTAGTAAAGTTGGTTCAGTGCGATTAATAAGTAAAGCTATTAAGTTAATCAATGTTTTTTTGTGCATTCAATATTACGTTAGGCAGATCAGTATATAAACAGATGTCCAATTGTCTTAGACAGCAAATCTAAGGTTAAACAAAATAGCAGGTTCATTCATTTGAATACACTAACTCTACTTTACCTGCAGGTTTCCGGAGTTTTCATGCTTGGCGTTTTCGCTGTTGTTTTTATTACGTTTGATGTTTTGAATGGTAAGCAATTTAAATAATGATGTCTTAAAAGTCAAGTGTAAACATGTTTTCAACATCACATGCATTCTAGTTTTGGATTTTAAAAAGAAATTTTGTTTTAGGATATGTTGTTGGAAAAGTTGTGGGATGTTATTTCGAGGGGGAATTACACCAAAACGGGGAAACTTTTGTTTCTAATTGTTTAAAATACAAATGTAACGATGGAACGAGGACCTTGATCGAAGGGGGTAAGTTATGATGTGATAGTGTGGTAAGTTATGATGCGGCTTACTTCATATGATTAACTAATGTATTTATTGAATGATTGATTCACTGATTAATTTATTTGTTTGATCATTCGTTTGTTAATTTTCTTATTTATTTATTTGCTTATTTTTTATTTTTGCTTATTTTTTATTTTTTGTTTGGTATATATTTATTTATTCATTTATTAATATATTTATTTATCTAATTAATTAATTAAAGTACTTAACTAATTTATTAATTCTATACTAAACATTGGTGTAGATTCTTTCATGTAGTGTAATATTATCTCAAATGTGATTAAATGCGGCGTTTTATTAAAAGAACAAACAGAATTAGGGGGTAAACCGTGGACTCCTATGAATTTATTGTCATAATACCATGGTATTCTATCTAAATATTTTTTAAAATCTGTATATTTGTATAATTGTTTATGTATGTTTAGAACAGCCATCTAAAAACTAACATTGAGATGGTTATCCCCTCTACCTCACCCCAAAATGCGATAGGCGATATTTGTTTAGAGAGAAATAAATGTCATACCTAGGTAAACGCTGGGTGACGTAATAAATCTAAAGTTTCAGGATAGTGGTGAATGGATGGAGTTCACCAATCTCCCTACCCGGTACTTATCCGTGAAGTACATTTGGGAAACATGTAAATGTGGTACTCATAGTACTATGCCGCCAAAGGGTGTGTGTGTGTGTGTGTGTGTGTGTGATTTCATTTAGGATCTCAAAATTCGAACAAAAACAACACAATTATGTTCTTTGTATCTTGATAGACTAATGTTTTTTTTTAAATATCTACTACAGCAGTGATTGTTCTATAGTAACTAACACACACTATTGCATTAACAAAAAAAAAAGCTACTGAAGCAAACTTACAAACCTCTTCCATGACTTTTCACCCCTATTGCAATTTAATGTTAATATTCTTGTACAAAGCACATTAAAAAGCAATTTCTTCTCTTAATTATTATTATATAATTATTTTAGAACGGTTTGCTAGACATTACTTCTTTCAAAATTTTAGGCGAGTATAAGTAAGAATTTAAAAAAAGTCTATTTTTTTTAAAAAAAGGTATACATGAGATATTAACATTTTTAAAACACGATTATATCTTGCCCAAAATTAGTGAAAGCATATTTTTGTGTGATTTTCTGTCTCAAGATATACTTTAGGAATTGTTTAAATGATTCATTAAACTAATAAACTACTTAAAAATTTAGTAAGACAGCCTACTAATATATATATATATATATATATATATATATATATATATATATATATATATATATATATATATATATATATATATATATATATATATATATATATATATACTAGCTGCATACCCGTGCTCCGCCACGGTAAATCTTTTTAAATGTATTATCATGGGAACAGATTTAATGATTTCATATACTATAGTGCTACACTTGCATATCCCCTTAAAGCAATTAAAGCAAAATGAATAAGCAGCTGGCCGCATCATTATCTTTCTATAAGAAGTGTGTAAAAAAGTTGCGCAATTGTAATCTTTATGTTTTTTGGAAGGGGTCTAAGAGAGACATAGTTTAATTAATGAGAATTCAATACCTTAAAATAACAGCTCTGACCACCATAAAATAGACCTTACAACACATAAACAGCAATTTGAAAAAAAAATTCAACACTGTACCGACCCACACCTAACTCATTCTCCTAGCCCACAGAGTTTCTTCCAGCCATCTCTTCGGCCTCCCCCCCCCCCCCCCCCCCCCCGAAAAATTTCTACCGCCCCCCCCCCCCCACTCCCAAAGGAAATGAAATTTATATAATTTATATAGAAAATATATACTTTTAACAGTGTCCGCCCCCCTGGAGAAAGTTTACCGCCCCCCCCCCCCGGAAAATTTCAAGTGCCCCCCCCCCCCCCAGGAGAAAAAAAAGTCTGGAAGAAACACTGCTAGCCCAGGGGTCGGCAACCTTTTGATCCGCAAGCGCCTAAAGTTACAACCAAATTTTCAGTTTTTAAAGAGCCACAACATTTTTAGTTCAATATTCGGTGTTTGATTATGATTAGGTAAATAAATTTGATTTGTTATTTAAAATAAATAACTTTAAATATGAAATATAGACATGTTTCGCCAGAATAGTAAAATTAGTAATCAAATAATATTATTCTAGGACTATCTCAATCCACTTTAGAAGCTGTTAATTTTTATTTTATTTTTTCTTTACGGATATCACCGGCTCATGAGGTGTCTCCCATTAGCCAGTCAGGCCTCAACACGGCAAACGCCAACTAACTGGCTTGGATATCGGTTTGAATAACTTGCATTGTATGCTTCTATCCTTTGGTTCTCATAAGGCTTATCTTCTATCCCACTGAACGCAGGGTAAAGTCGTACCCCACCGTCCAGTAAAAATGAAATTATACAACTATTAATATGTGTGCAAGGAGCTGGAGAGCCGCATCTAGACGTCAAAAGAGCCGCATGCAGCTCGCGAGTCGCAGGTTGCCGACCCACGTCCTAGCCATATATATGTATATATATATATATATATATATATATATATATATATATATATATATATATATATATATATATATATATATATGTTACGGTTAATGCCCGAAGTGCGGTCAAAGCCCGCATTGGCCTGCCATGTGCTCATTGGCCGGTTCTCTTGGCCAAAGCCCCATTTTGACGCCCCCCTACGGCAAAGCGCCATAGACAACCAGCTAGTTCGCCTTATAGGTAGCGCCGGCCCTGTAGGCCTATATATAACATATTACTTGCATACGTTTTCTCTATACATAAAGTTCCCTTTTCAAACTTGTCGGTCTACGGGGCAAGTAGAGTTCACCTGTTTCTGTGACCTCGGCATATGAAGAGTGTGATCAGCAGTATGCACAGCCGTCTTTACTTTTCCTAACGTGAGTTAGTTACCCATCAGAACAAGGACGATCTACTGACTAAATTCGAACTCGAGACTTACGGATTAGCAGTCCAGCTCTCTACCGCTAGGCCACTCCTTCCTTATACTATCTCTATGGCCTATACTAAAGTTATTATTTCAATTCGCAGGATGCCACGACGTCAACGGAAAGTGTCACAACACAGGCGAGGTCTTTCCTTCTGTATTTAGTGGTATACTGTTCCGAAAATGTTCTTGTGAAGTGAAAGAAGACAAAGAAGAAAAGTTCGACATGTCCTGTTCTAGAGTCTAGCTGAAGTGGTCACGTGATGTATTCTGTACGCAACAGAAACATTGCAAAATTCAATTTTAACTGGGATAACTTGAAATAAAATAAAATTGTATTGTCTTCTGAAAATAAGTTTACTTTTTCTTTTATTTGGCCATCGTTTTGATTATGATATTGCTAATGAATTTGTTACCGACAGTTTGTAGAATTAAGGATTCTATCGAATATCTAGGCATTGTACACCACGACGGATAAGAGTCGTCCAAATTAAAAAAAAATATGTATACAAAATAAAGCGGTCTGATGCTGGTTAGGGCACTTGCCGTTCAAATTTGGTAGGCGCATAGGGACAATATAAACGCGGGGACAAATACCAATCGGCCATGAATCCACAACGAGTGGTCGAAAAATGACCACGACTGACCAGCGCCTCATATAATTTCGGATTTTTTTCCAACCGGGGGGGGGGGGGGGGGGTGTGGTGAGGGGGTGGGGGGGTGGGGGGGGAGGGGGGGGGGAGAGGGCGGGGGCGGGGGCGGAGGTGGAGTGTGTGTGTATGTGGGGGGGGGGGTGTTAAATAGACTTAAAAAAAAACGGTGTTCCCTACAGGAAAACCTAAAAATCCGATAAAGGCGGAGACGGATTTCATTATCTAACCAATGCAATTTAATATATATATACATATATATATATATATATATATATATATATATATATATATATATATATATATATATATATATATATATATATATATATATATATATATATATATATATATATAAATATATATATATATAATAGGCTATAATTTATATATATGTATATATAATAAATTATGATCCAGAAAATCTTTTAAAGGGAATTAATCTAGCTTAGATAATTTTGCTAAAATATTAACTAAGCTATTTCCCTTTGACCACCTCTATGAACGACACCTTCCTTAATGTTTCCGATATAAAAGAAATTAAACATCAGTCGGACCGCACACTTGCGTTATTGAATTATGTAATAACGAGTTTAATCCTCGTTTGAGATGGCATCAGTTCATGATGTGTCGGCTAGTGTCTTAGAAAATTTGCAATCATGCAATTCTGTATAATATCTGTATATTTAATTAATGGGTAATAAAAAAAAGGGAGACTACTACAAATAAACGAGACAATGAGCCCAGGAATGATAGTAACGTGTCTGTTTCAATAGACTTTCATTTACTTCTGCTTTACAGTAAAGTTCTAGAACCGCTTTCCTGTCACTGCTGTTTCAAATAAAATAATCAGGGAAATAGAAAAACAACGCGTGGTAGCAGGGTACATGAAAGAGTCATTTAAGCTTTACTATGATTTAGTTTTCCGAAAATAATTGTATAAGACTTGTGTCTAACGATACTGAAAATAAATAAACGGGGTTTGTTGTTTATATTTTGATGCAGTAAGCCAATTTTGATTACATGATGGTTAAGTGAAATCAATTGTGAGGAAACCAACTCAGGCGTCTAAAAAATACACTATTAGTAGCAGTATAATATTATATAATATCTTCATACCGAGTCAATTTCTTTTCTAAAGCGGCAACACCTTGCATCAATCAGCTTGTCTCTTGCCAAATAATGCGTGTACCGAATTATACTGAATATAAAAACAAGTTAATATACATGGTCCCTGGCCCCACCGCTGTTTATTTTCGCTAAACCCAACTAAACGTATACAAATAGACTAAGGAAAAACAGCCTATAATATCAAGTATGAAAACCGCCCTTAGAATACAATAGGCTTGAAATGTTTATATAATC